CATTTAAAAACTCTTGAAGGTCCCTAGAAAGCTGTAAAATATGAAGAGATATTCATTCCTTTCATCATTCTCAAGATATTGCCTTCTCATGGCTGTGGTTAAGGAAATTACATCTGCTGGGTTTTTTTTTTCTTTTTCTTTGAGACAGAGCCACTCTGTCACCAGGCTGGAGTGCAGTGGCGCGATCTTGGCTCACTGCAACCTCCGACTCCCAGGTTCAAGCGATTCTCTTGCCTCAGCCTCCTGAATAGCTGGGATTATAGGTGCACGACACCACGCTCAGTTAATTTTTGTATTTTTAGCAGAGAAGGGTTTCACCATGTTGGCCAGGAAGGTCTCAATCTCTTGACCTCGTGATCCGTCCCCCTTAGCTTTCCAAAGTGCTGGGATTATAGGCGTGAGCCATCTCGCCTGGCTCTACTGGGCATTTTCTTCATTACATTTCCTGAGACTCTTGAGGCCATGGATACTCAATGTCCTTCACCTATTTTGACTTGGATCTAACTTTAAGACACAGTCCTGTTAATGGATCTAAATATCACTTTTGAGGGATATGACTTGTTAACCTACATGCGGGGATTACTAATGGAAAAGCATTTTCTTAGCTCCATGCCAAAGAACATATGTCAGCTTTGACTACAACAAGCTATCAGGTTAATGCTTTTAATTTGATAAAACTAGGTATAAATCAAATATTAAGTCAATCAGTTAAGAGGCAGACACTATTATTTATTCTTAGAGGGAAGCAGGTGCCTGGCTGTGAAGGACCTCCTAGACCATATTAAGGATTCTGCTGCTTTTCCTCAGGATCTGATGTGGATTTTAAGACAGTACCTCAGCTGCTGGAATAAGGATGAATTCAAGGTGATGAAGGGTGGATTGGGGAGGCCAAGTAGGGGCAACTGTAATATTTGCTCTTTTTTTTTTTTTTTTTTTTTTGAGATAGAGTTTTGCTCTTGTTGCCCAGGCTGGAATGCAATGGCATGATCTCGGCTCACTGCAACCTCCGCCTTCTAGGTTCAAGCAATTCCCTGCCTCAGCCTGCCGAGTAGCTAGGACTATAGGTGCCCGCCACCATGGCAAGCTAATTTTTGTATTTTTGGTAGAGATGGGGTTTCACCATCTTGGCCAGGCTGGTCTTGAATGCCTGACCTTGTGCTCCACCCGCCTCAGCCTCCCAAAGTGCTGGGATGACAGGTGTGAGCCACCCTGCCTGGCCAATATTTGCTCTTTTGAATACAGAACAGTTGAAATGTGTAAAAGCTTCTATCTATCTATCTACCTATCTATCTATCTATCTATCTATCTATCTATCTGTCTATCTATCTATTCATCTATCCATCCATCCATCATCTATGTATCTATTCATCCATCCATTCATCTATCTATTCATCATCCATCATCCTCTCCTAAGTCAGATTTTTATCTACCTATTCATCTATCTATTCATCCATCATCCATCTAACATCTATCTATTCATCCAATTCATCCATCTACCTCTCTATTCACCAATCCATCCATCATCTATTCATCCATCCATCATCCATCTATCTCTTATCTATAATCTATCTTCTATCAATTATCTACCTATTATCTATGTATAATCGATCTTTCCATTTATGTATCTTCTTATTAAATGCGTACACATTATAGACACAATTGTTGGCACCAAAGGGAGCTCTGACAGCCTCTCAATAGTCTCAGACTTGCTTTCCTCCCTCCCAAAGCCTAAGTTGTTCTTGCCCCAGTTGTTGGAGCAACTTGCTCCTGGGCTGTGTCCTTGGTGGAGTGGCACTCACCAGCCCATGCCAATGCAGAGTCTTCAGTAAATGGGGCTAACCTGATGAATGCAGAGGCAGGCTTGCCGCTGAAATGCCCCCTCTCCCAGAGATGCCCAGTGGTCTGTAGGAAATGACTGTGAAGGCACCCCCTTTCCTTTCTCAGAGGTCAGTGGCCTCCCGACTTCCTCCCTATCAGGACTTGTTTTACGGACCAGTAAAGCCTAGTTCTGGCTTTGTCTTCCCCCTTGGGATGAAAGAGGGATAACCCACGCCCTCCCCACTGCACAGACCAGCAGAGGAGTTGGGGCCCCCAGAAGGCGCCACATGGGATGGTAACAAATGCTGTTGCAAATTTTCCATACACAGGATGGAAGGTAGTTTTCACTTTTCTGAGTATGAGATACCTTCTGAAGCTGAGAGGATCAGGTGGCCTTGACCTTTCATTATCATCGTAAGACATGGACACCTTTTTGAATCTCCTCCCTCCTGTGGGAGATTCAAGCTGTGAAGCTCTGAAGCACCTGACGATGAGCTCTGCCTTTGCTGGTGACCTCTTCAGGCCCGGGGGCAGGCAGGAGGGGGCCCCCTGCTGGTACCTTGCCTGGCTGTCCTTCAAAACTCCTACAGGTGTTTGGGTAGCTGTGGACACTTCTACCAGATGCCTCGGTGGCCCTAGGCACCCCCTGCTGGGCTTGTTTATTCTTTTTCAATGCAGGCCGCATGACTTTGACTTGTTAAGTCCCTGTGTTCAACATTACCAAGATTCTGAAGGTGAAATCTAAAATGTAATGCTCTACCTGGAACGTGAATCTCACACAGGTGAGTCACGTCTGGGCTTACGCCAATTATGGGAAGTCGTAGACCCTAGGGTGACAGCAAAAGCCCCATTGCTGGGTAACCTTTGCATTGAAGTATGAGGCTTACTAAGGCAAAACTTGGTTTTATAGGTATTTATTTACATCATATTTCAATACTTCAGAAGCTTAACCAGTGTTGGGTGTTCAGCAGTTCTGAGAAACAGCTTTACAGGAAGATATAAACTAAGGGGTACCCATGAATGTGTCTCTTCCTTCCTCTCCCAGGACAGAGTAACAGGTGTGCTCCTGCCCTTGGCCCTGGGGTGCTCACCTCCAGCCATGAACTGCCTCACCCAGTGAGTTGGCGGGCTGCACAGGTGTTTGCGCATCCCACATGTGGCCTGGCATGAAGACCGTCCACATAGGTGGCTCTAGACCATGCAGGCAATCTTCCCCGGGGCTGAAGGAAGTCACCCTGAGACCCTCTCCCCTGTGAGGACCTCTCCTAAGTCAGATTTCTCACTGCTCCTAGCTCCAGCTTCTGTTGCCGTCTGCCTGGGGGTTGCCAGTTGACAAAACCTCCCCAAGCTGGAGTGCTGCTGCAGCTTTGTCCCAGGCACGTATTCTGTCGCCTGTCCCCAGAGCGGTTGTGCTCTGGGTTCTGGGAGCCACACGCTTCAGCAAGACTGCTTTCAGGATACCTGAATGAGGAAAGCCTGAGAAGCTTAGAAAGGTATCCTGGATTGGAAGGTGGAGGCAGGTGGATCACCTGAGGTCAGGAGTTCAAGACCAGCTTGGCCAATATGGCAAAACCCCATCTCTACTAAAAATATAAAAATTATCCAGGCGTGGTGGCAGGTGCCTATAAACCCAGCTACTTGGTAGGTTGAGGCAGGGAGAATTGCTTGAACCCGGGAGGTAGAGGTTCAAGGTTGCAGTGAACTGAGATCATGCCACTGCACACCAGGCTGGGAAACAAGAGTGAAACTCTGTCTTAAAAAAAACCAAAAAACAAAAAAAACATAATCCTAGAAATACACTTCTAGTAACAGCAAGCTTGATTGACGAAGAACAAGGAGAATATTCCATGACAAAGGAAACATTTCTTTTCCTGGCTTCTTGCTGTAACCTGGCGGGGAACAGGGTCAGCTGAAGTATCTCCACATGGTCTATCATGGCTGAAGGGAAACAATGGCTTACCCAGGCAGCACCTTGCTTGTATAGGTGCTTTGATTAGCCTCTGTAAGAACTAATATATTGTTTGGTTATTATGTTTTCTGTGCTGTGCATAAAGAAGAAGAGAATTTCAGAGGAGGGATGAGGCCTCTTGATTTTCTTTTCTTTCTTTTTTTTTTTTTTTTCTTTTTTTGAGATGGAGTCTCACTCTATTGCCCAGGTTGGAGTGTAAAGACACAATCTCAACTCATTGCAACATTGGCCTCCCAGATTCAAGAGATTCTCCTGCCTCAGCCTCCCGAGTAGCTGGGATTACAGACACCTGCCACCATGCCCGGCTCATTTTTGTATTTTAAGTAAAGACAGGGTTTCACCATATTGACCAGGCTGATCTAGAACTCCTGACCTTGTGATCCACCCGCCTCGGCCTCCCAAAGTGCTGGGATTACAGGTGTGAGTCACCGAGCCCTACCACGGCCTGTTGATTTTCTAAAGCATCACTACATTTAGGTGGAGTGGTTTAGGTCCTGGAGGTTAAAGGGCTCACCCCAGGCCACCCTGGGCATTTGCTGCTCCTCTGGGAAGGATAAGGGGATCTCACATGCAGCCCCCATACCAGCTCCATGCAGACATCTCTCTGGCAGAATACAAGTTCAGGCTTTGCAGTTTGAATTCAGACAAAGGGGCCTGGATCAGTGTTCTGTTAGTGCTTAAATGTCTTTAGAAACATTTTCTTTCAGAGAGTTTTTGAAAAGATATATTAAAAAATGCTGGCTCTTTATTGCACATATCTCTGAGGACAGGATAGAAATAAATTGGAAAGACAGTAAATAGACTCTGTGTTGCATGACTCTGTGCTGGGGAGATGAACTACTGGCTCCTCCTTTACTGACCCTCACTCCTACTCTAGCCCTTTTCCATACTAACAGGAGCTGTCTAGACTCCTGCCAGTGCTGCACAAAGCATTTTGCAAGGGTTATCCAACACTTGCAATAACCCTCGGAGGCAATGATTATTATTCCCATTTTACAGATGAAGAAACTGAGGCTCCTAGAGGCTAAGTAACTTGCTACAAATCACACTGCTTGGTGAGTGGTGGAATTCTAATTGATCTGATTTCAAGAGTGAACGTCGACATGAATCTTAGAAGTCTGTTAAAGTCATGTGACCCAGAGAGAAACCCATGCCCAACTCTCTGTCAAAAATTTCCCAGGACCCATGCGAGTGAGGGCAAACCCTCGTCTACCTGCAGAACTCCCCTTCTGATTCCGGCAGCGTCAGCGAGGCCATGGGATTCTTCATCAGATCGGCCACCACGGGGTCCTTGGCTGTCATGTAGAAGAAAGGAATCCCAGTGCTATTGTTGAAGGGGCCATCACTGATGGGCAGGCAGTTCCCAAATGGCAGTCCTTGGATCTAACAAACACCAAAAAAAGCTTTTTCAGTGCTGAGTTGTGGCTTGACTTGAACTATTGGGAGCTTAGCTTATGCCTCTGGCTAGAAAATACAGCACCAGGGAGGAGGGAGGATCATGGCATCACAGTGGCTTTGACAGGTAGTAAATCCAGGTAAGGTGGTCCCCAGTCTGCCCAATTCACTCTGTGGTGGCTCTAGAATTCCTCTACAGGAGATGCTTAGCAATGGCATTCTGTTTGGAAGGGGTGGTGAAAGGGTTCTTCTTGAAGCTGCCTGTGCATGGCAAATATATGTTCACTTTTAAAATTTCATGTTGGGGGCCGGGCGCGGTGGCTCAAGCCTGTAATCCCAGCACTTTGGGAGGCCGAGGCGGGTGGATCACGAGGTCAAGAGATCGAAACCATCCTGGTCAACATGGTGAAACCCCGTCTCTACTAAAAATACAAAAAATTAGCTGGGCACGGTGGTGCATGCCTGTAATCCCAGCTACTCAGGAGGCTGAGGCAGGAGAATTGCCTGAACCCAGGAGGCGGAGGTTGCGGTGAGCCAAGATCGCGCCATGGCACTCCAGCCTGGGTAACAAGAGCGAAACTCCGTCTCAAAAAAAAAAAAAAAAATTTCATGTTGGGGGAGGAACAATGACATTTATGGGGGATGGCACTAAGCCTTTCCCACAAGCTGCCTGTTATAGTCCCACTGCCTTTGCTCCCAAGGTTGGCTGCCGCTCCCATGTTTTTAGCAACTTTAGGGAGGAAATTTAAGTCTTTAACGTCTTGCCTGCTCTTTGGACTTCAGGAACTTTCTTTTATTGTTTCTTTTAGGGCTACATCACTTCCTCATTTATTAGCTGCATTTTAAAAATTGTAATCAACAATATTTCATTGTATGACCCAGCAAGTTATCAGAAATTGATTTGTTAACCATTTTGTATAAAGGAAGTCACAGAAACATGATATGCCAATTTTTCTTCATGATCACGCAGTAGGGTGGGAGGACGGTGGTGCTATAGTTTGGATATCTTTCCCTCCAAACCTCATGTTAAAATCTGATCCCCAGTGTTGGAGGGGAGGCCCAGTGGGAAGTGTTTGGGTCATGGGAGTGGATCCCTCATGAATGGCTTGGTGCCCTCCTCGAGGTAATGAATGAATTGTCCCTCTGTTAGTTCCTTAAGAGCTCCCCTGAGAGATGGTTGTTTAAAAACGACTGGTGCCAGCTGGGAGTGGGGGTTCACCCTGTAATCCCAGCACTTTGGGAGGCCAAGGCAGAAGGATCCCTTGAGACCAACAGTTCAAGATCACCCTGGGCACGATGGCAAGACCCCCATCTCTACAAAAAGTTTTTTTTTTTTTAAATAGTAGCTTGGCATGGTCGCACACACCTGTAGGCCCAGTTACTTGGAAGGCTGAGGAAGGAGGGATGCTTGAGCCCAGGAGTCTGAGGCAGCAGTGAGCTATGACTGCATCATTGCACTCCAGCCTGGGAATAAATAAATAAAAATAAAAAGAGCCTGGCACCTTCCCCTCTCTCTTGCTCTCTCTCTCGCCATGTGATCTCTGCACACACTGGCTCCTCTTCACCTTCCACCATGAGTGGAAGCAGCCTGAGGCCTCCCCAGAGGCAGATGCTGCGCCATGCTTTCTGAACAGCCTGCAGAACTGTGAGCCAAATACACTTCTTTTCGTTATAAATTACCCAGCCTCAGGTATTTGTTTATAGCAATACAAATGGACTAAGACAGGTGGTATATCATGTTTCTGTGATTGCAGATATAAACAAAAATATTTATTTATTAGTATTATTATTTTTTGAAACAGAGTCTCACTCTGTTGCCCAGGCTGGTGTTCAGTGGTGCAATTTTGGCTCACTGTAGCCTCTGCCTCCTGGGTTAAGTGACTCTTGTGCTTCAGCCTCCCCAGGTGGTGGCAGTACAGGTGTGTGCCACCACACCTGGTTAATTTTTGTGTTTTTAGTAGAGACAAGGTTTCACCATGCTGGCCAGGCTAGTATTGAACTCCTGACCTCAAATGATCTGCCCTCCTTGGCCTCCTAAAGTGTTGGAATTACAGGTGTGAGTCACTGCGCCTGGCCAACAAAAATATTTAGTGCTTAGGTTTTCCCAAATCCTGCCAAACATCCCAATTTTCCATGATTTCATTCCTAACGAAGTGCACCTTGTTACTTAGCTCAGAATCCAGGAGTTAACTTTGTTCTTGAAGGGTTGTTTGAGAATGGTGTGTAGAATTATAAAAGGCAGGGCTTCAATTTTTTAAGAACAGGAAATGTTAAGGAATCTTCCAAAATGGTAATATAACTTCATTCATATATCCCATTTTTCAGCTTGACATAGCTGCCCAGAGTCATGCTTTGCATACATGGCAGTACATTGTAAATGTTTTCTGAATTTATTGTTTAGATTAAATGTCAATAAGGATTAGAAAGAGGAACTCCTAACAAAGCTAAGAGAAGAAATGTTGAAATTCAAAATATCTCTAATACATTGGCATTAGACTTTTAATTTCTTGAAAAGATTTGTGTTTTCAACCAAGATTAGTATCATCTTTAACCTTTGTCTTTTTAAGATGTGTCTTAGGAGTGCAAAATACAGCTGTGAAAATCATTTGGGTGCTGAGAATATCCAACTGGATCTGCATTTGACACTGAAGAGGTTAAGACCATTGCCAACATCGGAATAAAGTTGCCATTTAGGAAGTTTTAAGCCAAAAAAAGGACCTTAAAAATTGCCTGGTTAACCACCTAATTTTACCGATGAGGAAAGCAAAGTGGAGAAGCCAGTGACTCGGCCACAGTCTTGGTGAGACCCAGAGCTGGGGCCAGAACCTGGCCAATGTCCTATGCATTCTATAAAATACTAATTCTGTTTTTGTAGGAAGTAAATAGGAGTTCACGTTACTGCCCTGTAGCTCTTTTATCTCTCTTAACACCCCTAAAAGCTTTCTGGAGGCATGGACGTTACATGCGCATTATTTGTCCATGTCATTCTACGTGGAATCATGTCTAACAGGTGAGTAAAGCCTTTCCGAACTGAAGATAAAAAGTGCAGCGGATAGCTTATTCCAGGTTTTACACACTTTGCATAATAAATCTCCTTTCCAGAAAAAAATCTTGAGCTCCATTTTCTTAAAGGTAGATTTCCAAAGAAGCCCTGGTGCTGTCTCTGTCCCCGTCTCCAGGTCCAGGTCGGGAGGTGACGGGGAGTTCGGGTCTATGGGTCTGTGCCCTGCGCTGGGAAGGGCTGTCCCCGCCTACTCTGAGATTCCAAGGCGGCTCTGGCTGCTTTGGTTCAGGTCTGGGTCAGACGCTGGTTAGGTGTCCGTCTCTCTGCCTGGCCATCTCTAGGCGGGGATTCGGTACCCAACCCTACCTGGCAGGAAGCCTGGTTGTCTACGTCCCTCTCCAAACCTCCCCCGACTTCGCCAGGCTCACGGAGGCACCATCGCCTTCCATTATGCACAGTGTCGAGGGTCCCATCCACCGCACGGGGCACGTCTGGTGGACCCGGATCCCAGTCCCGAGCGGTCGCGAGCACGTCCCCGTTCCCTGGCCGCCGACTGAATGCCAAGCCCCCTCGCGCTCGCCGCCGGGCGCTTACCTTCTCGTGGGCGGACACGGTGGCCAGGCAGCCCCAGGCGCTGGCGTGGGCCAGGGAGCGGGCGGTGGCAGCTCGCAGCCTCGGGGCCGGGGAGGCACCGCCTGCCTGGCCGCCCTCACGCCGGTAGGAGAACATCCCGGGCGGCGCGGGGGGCGGCCTGGCGCGCGCGGCGCCCGCCCGGGGCCGCAGGTGCGCGTCCTCCTTGTGAGCCGAGGCGGGGAAGCTCTGCTGCCAGATGCTGCCCGAGTCCTCCAGTAGCGCGGGCATAGCCTCCTCGGTGGAGGCGCTGTCCAGCTCCTCGTCCACCTCGTTGGTGACGGCCCAGGACACGGAGCTCACGATCACGTAGCCCGCGGCCGGGGACAGCAGGGCGCTGCAGCACAGCAGCCAGGAGAGGCGGGTCCCGGGCCGCGCCGGCCGCCGGCCGCGGCGCACGGACATCTTGCAGGCGGCACGCCCAGCCGCGGGGGCGGCCAGCAGCGCCAGCGCCGGGGAGCCCCGCAGCGCCCCCCTGCGGCGGAGGCGCGGAGCCCGAACCCCCCTCCCACCCCCGCAGGATTCCCGGGCGCGGTCCCCGGCACGAGTCCCGGAGAATCAATCCCTGCAGCCGCGCGCCACGCTCGGAAGTCCAGGCTCGTAGAAGACCAGGTTCCGCGCACACGCCGCGCATCCTGCGGAGTCTTCCTCGCGCTCCAGGTCCGGGGATGGCTTCGTTTCCTGCAGGATGACACAGGTTGCGCAGCCAGAGGGTGGGCGTTCAAATCCCAGCGCGATAGGCGCCTTAGCTCAACAGCTGTGGGATCTGTCAAGCCACTTAACCTCTCACTGCCCATTTCCTTCGTTAGCTGACAAAGGTAATGTTTACCTCGTAAGGTGATGGATGGGACGATTAAACGATTAATATTTGAAGAGGCTTAGAACAGTGCGTGGCATGGAGCAAACGCTATACAGTAGTCCCTTGGTATCCGAGGGGTATTGGTTCCAGGACCCCCGTGGATACCAAAATCCAGAGATGCTCAACTCCTTTATAGAAACTGGTGCAGCATTCGCATATAACCCATGCACATTCTCCTTTAATCTCTAAATTGCTTACACAATGCCTAATACAATGTAAATACTACATAAATTGTTGTTTACTGTATTGTTAGGGAATAGAACAAGAAAAAAGCCTGTGTATGTTCAGTACAGATGCAGTTATCCTTTATCATTTTTTATTTTTCTGAGGAAGAGTCTTGTTCTGTCCACCCAGGCTGGGGTGCAGTGGCACAATCACAGCTCATTGCAGCCTCAACTTCCCAGGCTCAGGTGATCTTCCTGTCTCAGCCTCCAAAAGTGCTGGATTACTTTTGGAGGTGAACTACTGCATCCAGATTTTTTTTTTTTCCTTCTTCTTCTTCCAATATTTTCAGCCTGTGGTTGGTTGGGAACCCATAGTTATGAAGGGCTGACTGTATTTCATTATCTAGATACAAGGTAGGGATCGTTATTAGATGTACTAGAGGAGAAAACTGAGTAAATGGTGGAGGTGAGATTAGCACCAATTCCTTCTGATGCCCATTCTCCTTCTCTGCAAGGACAATAACCTTCTTACACTTTGCTGTGTCCGGAGGGCATTGCAGCTAGTACATCTAGTAGCAGAATCAAGTTATTTGCATTTAAGCTGAAACAATCTGGCCAAAGCCACGTGGACAAATACCACCTTGGCCATGCCCCTTGTTCTAGGTGACCAGAACTCTGGTCCAAGTCCTGGAAAGGAAAACTGTGGAGGAATATTGCAGGCTTTTGGCTGTTTTCTTACTCCTGCCTCCTCATGGGAGAAGTGACTCCTCTGATGGATGAGTTTCGAAAGGCAAGCTTAACATGATTTTCTCAGCCCCTGCAAAGCTGTTCTTTTCTGAATGGTCTCTTCACTCTTCTCTTCCGTCTTGCCTGAGCTGCCCTGCCCCTTCAGCAGGTGGGAGGTCTCCCCGCCCTGTTCAAGAGGAAGGGAGTAGGTTCAGTTGTAGAATCTAGTAGGAATCCTATTTGGTCAAACTTTCCCACGGGCTTTACCTCCGTTAAGGTTTTTGATTCTTGTTTTATTTTCCAAATTAGCTCCACACTCAAAGGGGATTTAAGAGGGTGATCAATAATCACTCTTCAAACCTTATCACACAATTTGTGCCAGAACATAGTAAGTGCTTCGTCAGTGACAGCCGGTGTTGCTTGTTTTGCCCATTTACCCCTGAATATTTAACAGGTTCCTAAACTCAGATTTTGGAAGATAACTCTCCATAGACTTCCTGCTTTTCTGCAGAGTCCAAACCTGTTTTAACAACTTTGAAAAGCTAGAGATAGTGTCTTTCCGGAGAGATATAGGGATTTATTTTGCAGAGACATGCCAGGTAGTAAAGATATAGGTAGGAATATATTTATATATATATTGAAATATATATACTTGAAAAACAAACATTTTCAAAATGATTGTACCAATTTATACTGCCACCGTCAGAGTGTGAGAGTTACGGTTACAGCTCTACATTCTCATCAACACAGACTTTGTAAAGTTTTTTTGGTCCGTCCACCGCACTTCCCCCCGCACCAAATCTGGTGGATGCGCAATGGTATCTCATTGTTATTTTAATTTGCATTTACCTAATGACTAATATGGCTGATCGTTTTACATATATTTATTGCTTAGTTTGAAATCTTTTATAAAATGCTTGTAATGTCTTTTGTCCATTTTAAAAAAAATGGTAAAAAACGTAACATGAGATCTATCCTCTTAACAAGTGTTTAAGTGTACAGTACAGCATTGTTAACTATAAGAAAATTGCTCTGGCCAGGCGCAGTGGCTCAAGCCTGTAATCCCAGCACTTTGGGAGGCCGAGGCGGGTGGATCACGAGGTCAAGAGATCGAGACCATCCTGGTCAACATGGTGAAACCCCGTCTCTACTAAAAATACAAAAAATTAGCTGGGCATGGTGGCACGTGCCTGTAATCCCAGCTACTCAGGAGGCTGAGGCAGGAGAATCGCCTGAACCCAGGAGGTGGAGGTTGCGGTGAGCCGAGATCGTGCCATTGCACTCCAGCCTGGGTAACAAGAGCGAAACTCCGTCTCAAAAAAAAAAGAAAAGAAAAGAAAAGAAAAGAAAATTGCTCATAGCGAATCTATAGAATTGCACCTTGCATAACTGTAACTCTATCCATTGAACAGCAACTCCCATTTTCCCTCCCCCAGCACCTGGCAGCCGCCATTCTACTTTCTGTTTCTATGAGTTTGACTATTTAGATAATTACGTATCACTTGTATGTGGAATTAGATAGTATTTGCCATTCTGTGAGTGGCTTACCTTATTTAGCATGATGTTCAAAATTCATCCATGTTGTAGCATATGACAGGAGGTTACTATTTTTAAAGGCTGAATAATATTCCATCGCATGTGTGAAAGGAAAATATCTTGGGCCCTCAGAATCAAAACCTGAGACAGATCTCAGGCAATATAGAAAGTTTATTTTGCCAAGGTTGAGGATGCTCCCATGACACAGCCCCAAGAAGTCCTGATGACATGTGCCCAGTGTGGTTGGGCATGTGGTTTTACACATTTTAGGGAGACATGAGACATTAATCAATGTAAGTAAGAAGTACATTGGTTCGGTCTGGAAAGGCAGGACAACTTGAAGCAAAGGCAGAAAGACTTGAAGCAGGGAGGGGGCTTCCAGGCCACCGATAGGTGAGACACAAATAGTTGCATTCTTTTGAGTTTCTGATTAGCTTTCTGAGTCCGCACAGGTATATATCACGTTTTCTTTCTTTTTTTTTTTTTTTTAATCAGGGTCTCACTCTGTTGCCCAGGCTGGAGTACAGTGGCACCATCATGGCTCACTGCAGCCTGGAGAGCCGGGGTTCAGGTGATCTTCCCTCCTCAGCCTCCTGAGTAGCTGGTACTAAAGGCAAACCACCATACCTGGCTCTTTTTTATATTTTGTAGAGATGAGGTCTCACTATGTTGTGCAGGCTGATCTCAAACTCCTGAGCTCAAGCAATTCTCTGACTTCAGCCTCTCAAAGTGCTTGGATGGCAGACATGAGCCACTGCATCGGGCCCACATTTTCTATTCATCATTGTTGGACGTTTAGGTTGTTTCTGCCTTGTAGTTATTGTGAATACTACTGAAATAAACATTTGAGTGTAAATACCTCTTTGAGGTCCTGTCTTGAATTCTTTTGGGTAAATATCCATAAGTGTGATTGCTGAATCATAAGATAGTTCTACTTTTAGTGAACCTGTGTACTGTTTCCCAAAACGGCTACATCGTTTAATATTACCACCAGTGGTGCACAAGAGTTCTAATGTCTCCATCTTCTCACTAACACCTGTTGCTATGTTTATTTATTTATTTATATTTTACTTTAAGTTCTGGGGTACATGTGCAGAATGTACAGCTTTGTTACATAGGTATACACGTGCCGTGTTGGTTTGCCACACCCATCAACCTGTCAGCTACATTAGGTATTCCTTCTAATGCCTCCCAACCCCCCCGACAGGTCCCTGAGTATTATGTTCCCTTCCCTGTGTCCACGTGTTCTTATTGTTCAACACCCATCTATGAGTGAGAACGCATGGTGTTTGATTTTCTGTGCTTGTGTCAGTTTGCTGAGAATGATGGTTTCCAGGTTCATTCATGTCCCTACAAAGGACACGAACTCACCGTTTTTTATGGCTGCATAGTTTTCCATGGTGTATATGTGCCACATGTTCCCTGCCCAGTCTATCATCGATGGGCATTTGGGTTGGTTCCAGGTCTTTGCTATTGTAAACAGTGCTGCAATGAACATTCGTGTGCACGTGTCCTTATAGTAGAATGATTTATAATCCTCTGGATATATACCCAGTAATGGGATTGATGGGTCAAATGGAATTTCTATTTCTAGGTCCTTGAGGAATCGCCACACTGTCTTCCACAATGGTTAAACTAATTTACACTCCCACCAACAGCATAAAAGTGTTCCTATTTCTCCACATCCTCTCCAGCATCTGTTGTCTCCAGATTTTTTAATGATCGCCATTCTAACTGGTGTGAGATAGTATCTCAATGTAGTTTTGATTTGCATTTCTCTAATGACCAGTGATGATGAGCAGTTTTTCATATGTTTGTTGGCCTTATGTATGTCTTCTTTTGTAAAGTGTCTGTTCATATATTTCACCCACTTTTGAACTTCTGCCCTTGTTATTGGTCTATTCAGGGTTTTGACTTCTTCTTGGTTTAGGCTTGGGAGGATGAAAGTGTCCAGGAATTTATCCATTTCTTCCAGGTTTACTAGTTTATGTGCATAGAGTTGTTTGTAATAATCTCTGATGATGGTTTGTATTTCTGTGGAATCTGTGGTGATATCCCCTTTATCGTTTTTTATTGCATCTATTTGATTATTCTCTCTTTTCTTTTTTATTAATCTGGCTAGTGGTCTGTCTATTTTGTTGATCTTTTTGAAAAACCAGCTTCTGGATTTATTGATTTTTTGAAAGGTTTTTTGTGTCTCTAACTCCTTTAGTTCTGCTCTGATCTTAGTTATTTCTTGTCTTTTGCTAGGTTTTGAGTTTTTTTGATCTTGCTCCTCTAGCTCTTTCAATTTTGATGATAGGGTTTCAATTTTAGATCTGTCCTTGCTTCTCATGTGGGCATTTATTGCTATATATTTTCCTCTAGACACTGCTTTAAATGTGTCCCAGAGATTCTGGTTCGTTGTTTCTTTGTTCTCATTGGTTTTGAAGAACATCTTTATTTCTGCCTT